TTGGCATGCCTGTTCCTTTTTGGTCTAAGGTTTTGTGGTATTACTTTTGTACTCATCTGTGTCCCAGTGCCTCAGACAGCGCATGAGGAACTGAACTGAAATGAGCTAGCAGAGTGTTCGCCAGCAAATCCCCAGCCTTATACCCTCCTGACACAGCCTCCACCATTGTCATGAGCTTGCTGGGCCCAACATATCACAGGCTTCCAGTGAGTGGAACCACAGCACATCCATGCAGGGCTTACTCCCCTCAGGAGGGGGAGGAACAGCCACTTTGCTTTCAACATGCCAGCCATATCGCCAGCAAAGCACCTGGATTGGACTGCCCTTTTCCTATTACACATTCTCTGAGATAATTTCAATTCCTTTCAGACTGGAAGAACATCAAACTTCCCCCTTTCTATAATCTGGAGGACTGCAATTAGGCCTAAATTACTGCTGGGGTCCCATTGCATAACCTCCTTGAGCAGCCGCCTCTTCTCTCTTGTAATACATCTTCCACCTAGAAGGAGAGACTAGTAATTCCTTCTTTTCTCTTCTTCCTTCCTTAAGTGGTTGGCCCCTCCTATCACCTGCAGGAGGGAGGTAAAGTCTAGTGGTCCCAAGGCCATCTTAGCCTCCCCATTTCCATCACCTCTGTTTACTGCCCATCTGACTCCCAAATTAGCTTTTCCTTAATTCTATTCGAAGCTCATTTTATAGCACTTATAGTTCTTCCCACATAGTTCTAGAAGTTTCCAGAATCAGCTATCCTGGTACCACCTTTTTTCCTCACTACTCTTGAATAGCTTATTATAAAATTCTAGTGCTCATTTGTCTTTTCCCAGTGTGCTGGTAAAGTTAAACAGGTGGGGACATTGTACATACACCCATTTGAGTCAAGGATCAGAAAGGCTGGCGGTTTGCTTTAAGGTTTAAGAACTAGTAAGGGTCAGAAGTAGAATCCCCAGTCTCTAATCTCCTAGTCTAGTGTTCCAGCATCTACCATCCTCTTATTACACTTTGCTACAATGTCCCTCTGGGATTCATGCATGACCTTGAACTTCTGTACATTTAAGAACTAGTGCATCACAACATCTAAATATTCCAGCAAGGGAGAATTCTGACAATGGTCTCAGAGGACCAGGAACTAAGCTAAGCCAAAGTGAGGTGGTTAGGACTAACTCTGTCTTATTGATTCATACTGGCATTGGCTGAAGTTTCTCTGTCTCAGACAATCTTTCTTGTTCCTGAAAAGAGCCAAACAATGCTGGTGGGGTGGTGAAGGAGATACTATAAGCATGAATCTTACCCGGGCCTCAGCCAAGTGCTTTTTGAGCCCAGGAATCGTGGAGATAGGTATGGTACCCTGGGTCACTCCCCCAAGGGTTATCAACCAGCAATGTGATGGACTCGAGTACTGGGACCACTTTTTGGGTCAAGACAAGTAAGCTGGATTAAGCTGGATAGCACATTATTGAAAAATTTTTTTTAATGTTCATTTACTTTTAAGAGACAGAACATAAGTGGGGGTGAATAGAGTAGGAGAGGGGAGGCATGAGTCTGAGCTGTCAGCACAGAGTTTCAATGCAGGCTCGGAAATCATGTAATGGTAGAGATCATGACCTGAGCCAAAAGTCCGATGTTAACTGACTGAGCCACCAGGTGCCCTGATAATATTATTGAGTACTGTGACAGATAAATCTTTGGTGGCGTGAACTGGTTCCTTAATGGTCACCCGGGAAGACAGCCTGGCTATTCACAGCATAAGGTGGGAGGGGGGAGAGAGAGCTGTGGAGGTAGGGGAGCAGGGGTTGGGCTATGACAATACTCTCCCCTCAACACCACCACCACCACACCTCCATTTGAAAATTAATTATTCATCATCCCCAATCATTATTAGATGATTCAGGTAGCTGCCAGGGACCCCCCCTATAGGTTCTTACAGATGAATCCAGGGCAGCCCTGAGCAAATCTCCAATGGAAACTCCACCTTTCCAATCTCTTCTTGGATTGCTTTCTAGCAGAGAGAGTATGTTTGTAACAAATCTAAAATTTTCATTTTCCCTCACTGGGCCTTCAAACAAACTAAGCTTTATATGGGAACTGAAATGAAGACAAAAGGAAGACTTGAGGATCTTAAGATAAACATATGGAGACTCACTCAATGCTTACATAGAGTATTGGCCTTATACAGCCTTTGTACTCATTTGTCCTTTTTAGGAAGAACTCACTGGGTGGAAATTGGCTCAGGGTCATAATCAAGGAGAGAAAAGATTCATCCTGAGAGGTGGAGTGGGATTAGTCATATTCTGATTTCTCCACTCATTCAACAGAATTACATGTGTAAACTTCAGTGGGCTGACCTGCATCAAAAGGAGGCCCAGGGGAAGGCACTGATTTATAATCTTGGATGCTTTATTATCTAAAGTAAAAGAGAAGATACAAAAAGTCGTTTTATTTACTGCTAGTAAGTGTACCAGACCCATGGAAAGTTTTGGTCCTTTGGTTGGAAGCTGTCGATGTTTATAGTAGGGCTGGGGACGGCTGTGTTTTATCCCAGCTTTAACATTCAGGCTGCTGGCTCAATGTGATCCTTTCAGTGGAGGACCTCTCCAGAGCAGGTTGGGTTTGATGTGCGATATGCACTGCTGCTGGAAATTTATGGCTGAGCTAGAGGTGAGAAAGAAAGAAAAATGTTTATTGACCTTTTTGGTCATGAAGTATGAGTAGCAGAGAACAATATCGGCTTGGTCAGGGGAACTCACAGTTTTGGTTACTTAGCATTCTTTCCTAAACTACTCCAGCTCTGGGCTCATATATGTGTATATATTCATCTGGGTTTTCCCCTCATTAGCTGGCTCCCTGATTTTGAAAATTAGTAAATACAGTATATACAAGATAACATATACATGTGCATTTATATGTATGTTTTGAAGGGTCATCTGTACAGGTAGAAAGGTTGACTCATCCATTGTCTCTACAAGATTATAAGGATCGAATTAGTATGCTGGGATCACCATTTTCCATGAGGCTATGCGCATATAGACACTGGGAAGGTCCTGTGGGGAGTGAACACTCCATTGTCAAAAAAGAGCAGAAATATGGAGCCCTCTGAAAGAAGTTAGGGAAGAGTTAGTATCAAGAAGCACGCTGCATGCAGAAATGGCTGTATTTGTAGTGTAAAATAGTAGTATTGGCTATTTCATTACGGTCCAATCACAGCCTGCTATAAATGGAAAGCTGAAGAGTGATTACCAGTTTTGTAGAACAAAAAGTTCTCATTATCATCCCACAGAAGACATCTATGAGGAAAGGGTTTACGGCTTTCAGGGGACACAGACACTTTTGGGTATAAGAAAGGAATTTCACATGTATTGTAAGAGATCCTTAGAGAATTTACACTCCAGGACAGCTTAAGATGGAAAGATGCCCAATGTGGTGAGCAACTGCTAGTTTTCTTGTAGAGACTTTTGACCCAGTGACCTTTAGTCCATTCCAGTTCTTGGTGTCTAAGCTGGGATGGATGAAAATAATTTATTAAGGACACTTGCCTTAGCTATGAAGGGATGCCTCATGAGAATTTGGTCCTATCACTGTAGAATTTAGATGCCCTGTCTCTGACACTGCTAAATAAAGTGAGATAAACTGTGTGCATGACCCCAGGCATCACATTGTTTGCAGTTTGGGTTTTTCTGCCAGGTGGGGAAAAACATATGTGTGCTTTTATATCTCCTCTCAACATCCTCTTGAGCTTTCCAAGTATTAATAGAGTTCTTCAGAAACTTGACTCAGAAAGTCCTTTCTTAGTCTGCAAAAATTAAATGCTGGACATACATACACTGATGTTAAATAATGGTTATCTTTGAGGAATTATAGGCAATTCCCAGTCATTTGCTTTACTTACCATCAGTATTTTTCTAAAATTTTCCTTTACAATGAGCATGGTGAAGAACAGCATAATTAAAACCTCCTATGATTTGTCTCAAGGCTATGTATCCAGCAGGAAGCATAATTGAGATATTGGTCATAAATGTTGTTTTAGAATCCAAAAAAAGACAGTGACTTTTTTTTTTTTGTCAGATCAATTATCATTGGGCCACATGGACAGGCATTATAGTGTAATAGGGCAGAGTGTTTTGTTTGTTTTTCTTTCCAACATTAGAACCAAAAGGAAACCTAAGAGAAGCCACTAACGCTAGTAGTT